TACAGACAGATCGCAACTGTTAGACGGCCTTTTACACATAGGTGTAGGAGTGTAACTTAAGGTGAATTAAGCTTCTCCCACATCTCTCATACACAAGGTCATGAGGAAACTTTTACCAAGGTATTTCTCATTACTTTTAATATCTTGACTGTGCGAAGTGAAAAGTGACACAATAAGTGAACGTTCAGACGAGTTCAAGTTGATTCATAAAAGACTATGCAATCATTTAGTTACACATATTGAACAAATCATAAGTACACTTAATTGTGGGTATTCCTATAAAAATTGTCAAAGTTAAAATGAGATAAAATCCGCGTCCGAATTTTAATTCACATCAACTCAGATTACTTATATAGAACAGTAAAACATCAGTTCTGATGTTAACAACCAAATAATTTCACTGGCACTTTCAGCTTAAGTTTTGGCAAATAAAAACAAAGAAAAGGAGGAAAGCAAGGTTAGTAGGGTACTACTTTTACTTTATCAAAATGTGGTCAACCGGATCAGCACGTCCCTTCTGCGCTTAGGAATCCACGTGACACGTCACCCCGAACACGTCAGCTTTACCTGGTGGTGGCTTCTTAAGGCACCCCTGGGTAGGAACTGTCTCACCTCTGATCAGTCAGGGAACTTTTTATCGGCTCGCTCACTGTTCTTTGGCGAAAAGGTGTTTCAAGGTAACTTTTCGTCTGTTTCAGTCCAAGCCAGAAAGATTCTAGCTGTACATCCGGTCCCTTCTTTTCAAAATAAAATCTCCCCTCGGGAGGTAAAAACACACTTTAGAGACTTGAAGCCTCTGGGTGGGACCGCCGGCGGCGTCCGGGGTCCTGGCTGTTAAGTCTCCCCTAGTTAGCTCATGGGCTAAGAAAGCCAAACTGATTCTCTCCAGAGAGAAACTCAGCTTTCTTCCTAGTTCAGAGTCAGGAAGAAGAAGAGTGTCCGTCTCTCAAAGCCATCCAGGTTAGTAAAAGAAACAGATGATCTTTGGTTCCACCCTCAGGCGTAGAGATGAGTCAGAGAAAGAAAGATAAAGATTTGCCAGTGGCGCCAGCTCAAGGTTAAAATTCTATGGCTGTTCAACAACAGGATGATAACCTTTCTTCAGCTTTCTTCTGATAGACTCTAAGAGAAATCACTGCAAAAAAATTTATGATGATTAATTAACATTTCTGTTTTAAAATCAGTTCTGAACCGTTCTGTTAGTCCAGATAAATGAAAGATTTTCTCAGGAAAAATCCACAATTATATTACTGTTTTCACAGTAAAATAAAAACAGTGATTTACATAAAAACAC